GAGGAGATGAGGACAAAAAAAATGCCTGCTTCATGTACATCTCAGTAATGGTAGTTTTCCCCCCATTCATTAGTATTTATAGTGCCAACCCCCTGGACAGTGTATTGTGACCTGGAAAGGCAAAACCGGTATACAGTGATCTTGTTACAATGACTCACAGGCAGGGGGTCGGCTGCTTTACAATCCAACCCCAGTGTCAAACTGAGTTACCTGTGGAGAACATTTTCAATTTGTAGGACTGACTAAAAAGTCCATAACAAAAAAAAAGAGAGCCAACAATGGAGTCATGAAAATGTACACACATATACATCATCACTGCATCTCTACATTACTATAGTAAATGCTAATTACTTACAAAGGTGGAAATGGTCTTTAAAGTACATGTTTCAATGGCTGTTTGCCTTACTATTTGGTGAGTCACTGGCTTGAATAAGCATGTGCATATCGGGTGTCACGACACAATATACATATGCTCATTCTAGGTCAGTGACTCGCCAAAGTAGTGAAGGATCTTGGAACATGCCACTCCAAATACAAAGTTACTAGGGGCAGCTCCCATATTTGTTTCCTGACAGCTTCCTTTAGCGACTGTTTTGAGTATTTATTTATTTTTTGCTAGTATAGTGAACGTCTCTTTTCTGTTTGTTTTTTTTATCTAATACCTTGTGGCTGAAATAACTGGAATAGGAGCTGAAAATTCTTGGGGGATCTTTTCTGCTAAGTAATTTTGAAAAGCATTCATTGGCATATTGGTTTATTATCCAGCTTTAATAAAAGATTAACTTGTCTTCATGTAAGAAAATCCTGAAAACATGTTTATTGGTGGGGATTGTTTGACCGATTTAATATTGTAGTTAAAGTGATATAAAATTAAAAATGTTTTTTTAAGCTATTTCAAATACTGATTAAATTCATGACAATATATGCTGCACTTTGATGGTTAAATGTTTTAATTTCCTTTTAGAATCAGCTGGTCCCCTGAGCTCTGGCCCTGATATTCTGTTTTAAGATGGCTCCTTTCCCTTGCAAGATCGTATGAAGCCACCTTTGTGTGTGCTAGTAAGCTATGTTTGTCTCCACAAACGCATCATAGCAAGCCACTTCCCTCCCCCCTGCTCACCCTCTTCTCCCAAGCTATTAGGACAGTTGCTGGAGGAGGGGCTGTCCTTTGTGATCATGTACTGGACATAAAGTTTAGGGAGCCAACTATTTGGAAACATGATGACGGTAACTGCTAAACGGCTAACGGTAACGGCTAAAGTTTAACAAATGCTTTACTTGACACTGTATATTTGTTTGCTATGGATTAATTATTAAAAATGTTTGAGAGATTTATACTAAGTTAACTACTTGCCATCTGGCCAATGTAATTATAGGGCCAGAAGGCAGCTACCTAGTAGTGGGTCGCCGTAAATATATGGCATTTCTCGCTCCCACTCCAGCGCTACAAGACCAACCCCCCTTGACTCTGCCAACCTCTCACCCTGCCCTGCATGCAAGCTGGTAGCTAACATAATTTACAGCCGGCGAAGGCTGTTTATATACAGCATTCAGGCGGCTACAGAGCTTGCTTGTATGGTGCTTGGGAGTGTGTGGCACTCCACCACCAGGTCCGATTCATCAACTTCTTTGGGCTCCTTAGGTGACATGAGGTGTCTAAAAGACCCCTGATGTTTCCATTAGGAGGACCTGACACTCTATATTTGCTATCACAGAGGGGCCTTGTTAGCCCCCAATGAAGCAAAGTGTAGAAAAAATATATATTAAAGTCCCCCGCCCCCATGCAAACTCAAATGCGCTGGGTGCGCCTATGTGCGAAAACGACAATGCACCGCATTGTTACATATCACTGCAAACATTGAAGTGCAAGCAATAATTCTAGGGTCATCACTGTTAACATGAAATTGATGAGTGTTAAAAGCTTTTAAAGCGCCGGCTATGGGCAATTTTGGATATGGTACTTTTTTGCGATTTTTTTTTTTTTTTTTTTTTGCGGGTGCACACAATTTTTTAAGGCTATGACAGGAAAGAAAACTCTTACATTTCAGGGGGTGGGGGGTTACCTTTTGTCTAAAGATTTATGTATGTCCCAAGAATGTTGCTTATTGTTGACTGACTCAAGACCTCTGGAAATCTATTTTAAGCATCCACTTGGTGCAGCTTCTAATGGACAATGTGAGAATCAAGTTTAGAGAGGAGTCTGCACAACTGTGCATGGCTGACGGTAATGCTGGAGTTTAGCTTTAAGTCCCCGCAGTCTATCCTAATATGTTTTACCCATCTGACCTTTCAACATTTTTGTTTCCCGTCTCTGGACTCCTTCTTATAGTTTAAGGTTGTGCAATAGGACAAATTTGGCTTAGACAGCCTCCTGATCTCCAATTGAAGGGCACAAACCAAGTAATCCAGACAAACCAAGAAATTCCTAATAAAACACAAATTTCAGAATGAATTCCCTACTTTTAAGTAAACCTCTAGTTAGTTCACTGGATAGCTAGCCCTCTCCACTTACATAGTTACCTATGCTTACAAAAGACAACAAAAATAAGCATTCAGGTATTTCGAAAGATGCAATGTCTCTCGACGATCTTCGTACTGCTTTAACCAATTTATTAGATTTACAAATCCGGAGGATATTGCGCTATGTCTCATCTGTTTTATGAACAAGGGAATGAATGTGGAGGATTGTTGGCTAGGGCCCTATGAAAGAAACCTGAGTTGGTCCATGTCTAAACTCCAGATTCCTCAGGTGACACAGTTTTCCACTGTTCTAAAATTGCAGAAGTTTTCTGTACCTATTATACAGTAGCACTTTATATAATTTGCATCCCTCCATGTCCCCTGCTGAACTTTAATTTAAAAAAAAAACTCCTTCAGGCTTATTTGCAGGAAACAGGCTTTCCTACCTTACCTACATCTATTAGAGAGGGCCTGGATGGAGATATCACTCCAACTGAGCTTGAGTCCACGGTTAAAGCGACCCCTAGTGGTAAAAGCCTGTGGGACCATGATGGCTTTATGAAGGCCTATTTTTTAAAGTTCCTGCCCATTCTCTCCTCTCCTCTCCTTTCTGCTCCTATTTCAATTCATTAACCTGCGGAGCCCCCTTTCTGACTGAAGCTTTGCTGGCCCACATTATCGTTCTCCTGAAGGATGGAAAAGACCCTTGTGTGCCACAAAGCTATAGGCCCATCTCCATTTTCAATGTTGATTGAAAATTCAGCTCAGACATTTTGACTGATAGACTTATAATTTTACTTCCAGACAGCTGGCATCTAGTCCAATGAACCGCCTGGATCGCTCTAAGGGAGCTATCCATGCCGGTCAAACGGGTTTCATAATGGGCAGAGAAGTTAGGGATAGCTCCCTTAGAACGATCCAGGCGGCTCATTGGATTAGATGCCAGCTTTTTCATCCTCCTTTTATGCTTCTGTCAATGGACGCTCAAAAAGCGTTTGGCCGGTTAGACTGGATGTTTTTGATAGAAGTGCTGGCATCCCTACGACTGCTACCACATATTATGAGCAGGATCACTGCCCTTTACAGTCAACCATCTGCAAAGGTAAAGGTCAATGATGATACCAATTTTTCCCCTTTCAAAACTCCAAACGGCACACGCCAGGGGTGCCCCTTGTCCCGTTATTGTTTGCTCTCATTTTAGAGCCATTTCTTCGGAAAGTTCTAAATAATCTAAACGTTAGGGGACTATGTATAGGTTCCCAGGAGCATAAATTGTCAGTGTATGCAGATGACATTCTTTTTTTTTTTATTATTATTACTGATCCATTAACCATCCTACCCAATCTAATCTCTGAATTTGTCACATATGGACAGCAATCGAACATCAAGATTAATTTGCATGAATCCAAAATTCTGCCTATTACTGTTCCGACCCCAATGGCTCAACATCTGCAGCAGAGCTTCCCATTCTTTTGGCTCTCTTCTGCCATTTGATATCTTGGAATTCAGTTGCTCACAATTGCTCACAATTTTTACCCTTTGCTCCATCAGCTCCAAAATGACTTCGCTAGCTGGGATCCTTCGTCCTTTACCTGAATGGGTGTAATTAATATTCTGAAAATGACCTGCTTTGTATCCTCTCTTTTTCCTACAAATGATCCCTATCTCCGTGCCTAAATCGTTTTATACCAAGATCAAGAGCTTGTTCATACGCTTTGTTTGGAGTGGTAAAAGGGCATGAATCGCATACACCATCTTGAGGCAGATGAAGGAGGTTTAGGTCAATAACTTGTGTTATAAGGCCATCTCACTCCAATGGATTGTCAACTGGCATCTCCATGCCTACTCTAAACTTTGGGTCCCAATGGAAAAATTCATGGTTGGTAGAAACCTTGCGTATGCCCCTTGGTTGTCCCGGAAGTATCGTGGTCTCTCTGCTACTACCTCCCCTTTGACACATCATTCTCTCAGGTTGTGGGATAGGCTGAACAATGGTGGAGCTTTTGCTCCCCCGTTGTCCCCACTGTCCCCATTGGAGGTTTCTTATGGTTCCCCCCCGGTGAACACCTTTCTTTCTTTAAACATTGGAATTTGCAAGGTGATTTTATCGGTGCTGTCAATTCCTTAGAATAAACTGATGTCCCTTGTTGAGTTAAGGGAAAAATATGGGCGTTTTCCTATGGACCAATGGCGGTATCAGCAGATTCAACATTTTTTTTTTAAACCACCGCCTCCAACCTCAGACCCGTGTCCTCCCTCACTCCCTTTTGAGTCTCCATGTGCAGCTTCCGCCTTCTCCTGGTCAACTAGTTTCCCTTTTTTTACAAGATGATGCTTCTGTCACAGTTGTCTCAGGGTTGGCTAAGATTTGTGAGGGAGTGGGAGAGAGACTTGGGTCGCCAATTTAGAGATGACCAGTTAGCCCATGTTTTTTGCTTTACTCATAAATCCTCTGTGGACTCCAAGATGCAGGAAACCAGTTACAAAATTCTGACTCGCCGGTATTGAACCCCTTCGGGCCTACGGTCTATTTATTCGACTTTGACCTCTTTGTGTTGGAGGGAGAGCAGACAGACTGGAAATCTATTACATGTCTGGTGGGAATGCCCTCTACTCGGGACCTGATACCCAACAAGGCCACCGAGACCTTGAGGGGCGGCACAGCTCGTCAGTCTATTAAATAGATTCCACCAAATCTCCATCGCCTCTGCGGTGATTAAAGATCTCAACGCCGCAGCTACAGCACTGTCAGCAAGAGGGGCTCCCACACGACAGTGCCGCCCCTCCACTTCCTGCTCCAATGCTACATAGAAACATCAGCCGACAGTGCCCCCCCTCCAGTGCTGCAGGGAAACATCAGCCGACAGTGCCGCTCCAACGCTGCATGGAAACATCAGCATCAACATGCAGCGTCAAAGCCCTCAATCACCGCGGAAGTGATAGAGATTCAATGGGATCCACCGAACATACAGACAAGCTGTAAGTAAGCAAGTGGCTGCCTATCAAATAAATCCATGTGTATCACCTGCAGCTCTGCGGCGATTAAAGACCTCAATGCTCCATGCAAAAGATACTGCACTGCCGGACAAAAGCCCCCTCCACCGACAGCGCCACTCTCGCGGCGCCAAGATTCCCAACCATCACAAGTTTGGTGGGAAGGGGGGTGCATTGAAGAACCTTGCCTTGGGGCAGCAGAGAGAGTAAATCCGGCCCTGCCTTTACTACAACGTTTTTGGCAAGATGTGCAGTCTCAGATTAAACTCGTCACTCCTGTTGAGCTGCCTAATGATGCTGCTTATATTTTCCTCCACCTCCTCCGTTATTCTTAGAATCTTTCTCTTCTTATAAGACCAGTGTTCTGCTGCACCTACTGAATGCAGCTAGTAGACTAGTCCCTGTGTTCTGGAAACAGACCAGGGTTTCTTCTAGATCAGATTGGATTTCATAGGTAACTAATATTCAGGAATCCAAGGAGTGGGTTACCAGATGTCATGACAAGTATTGTCAATTTTACACTAGATGGGCTGTTTGGCTGCATTACACATCTATCCTTACGGACACTAACAAATTAATTCCTTGTACATTCCTCTAACCTTGGTGTGTGGGGTTATTTTTGCTTTCACACTGGTGCATTCGTCCAGGAGCCTCTTTGTAGCTTTTTTATATGTTTCTTCGTTATACACATCACTGTATCCCAACCCGGGCCCAACGGATATGTGTAGGTCGCATGTCCACTTATCACTTTACTGTGTTTAGTCTTTTTTATTGTTGTTCAGACCCCAAATGGGGCAGTGTTTCTTCTATTTGGTTTGCTGATGCCGATTGCTGTTTAACCTATATCTTTTGATGCACACCTTGGGGGCTCTTCAGGTAGGTGTGAAAAAATGCTGTAAAGTAAGAATGCTTTCAGAAATAAAAGTGTTTTAATAGTTTTTTTTATCAGTTAACAAAATGGAAAGTACTTCAAATGAATATAAGAAAAATCCAAATCAAATCAATATTTCGGGTGACCACCCTTTGCCTTCATAACTGCATCAATTCTTCTAGGTACACTTGCACACAGTTTTTAAAGGAACTCGGCAGGTAGGTTGTTCCAAACATCTTGGGGAACTAACCACAGATCTTCTGTAGATGTAGGCTGCCTCAAATCCTTCTGTCTGTTCATGTAATCCCAGACATACTCCATGATGTTGAGATTATGGCTCTGTGGGGGTCAAACCATCACTTCCAGGATTCCTTGTTCTTCTTTATGCTGAAGATAGTTCTTAATAACATTGGCTGTATGTTTGGGGTTGTTATCCTGCCCCTTTGGGGCCAATCACATGCCTCACTGATGGTGTAGCATAATGCATTAGTATCCGCTTGTATTTCTTAGCATTGAGGACACCACTGATCCGGACCAAATCTCAGACTCCGTTTGCAGAAATGCAGCCCCAGACTTGCAAAGGACCCTCCACCATACTTCACTGTTGCATGCTGACAGTCATAATTGTACCGCTGTCCAGCCCTTCGGGGAACAAACTGTCTCAGAGACATGCCAAATATTTGACACTCATCAGTCCAGAGAACCTGCTGCCATTTGTCTGCACCCCAGTTCCTGTGTTTTTGTGCATAGTTGAGTCTCTTGGCCTTGTTTTCACATCGGAGGTATGGCTTTTTGGCCACAATTCTTCCATTAAGACCACTTCTGGCCAGACGTCTCCAGACAGTAGATGGATATACCTGGTTTCTGCTGATTTCTGCCAGCTCAGTGCTGATGGCACTGATGGACATCTTACAACGTCGAAGGGAAATAAGCATGATGTCCAATCAGATTGTTCAGGTATTTTGACAACCAGTGGGGCCGACTAGCAAGATACTGAAGCTTGGCCGAGTGGGAGATTCCTCCATCCACACAGTTTAGCGTAGATGTAGAAATCTGTTGCACTTTTTCCATCTGACCATAGAAAATCTGCAGATAATCTATAGGTGTACGGCCAGTTCAAAAATTGATGCTGTTTTGAAGCCAAATGGTAGTCACCTCAAATATTGATTTTAATTTAGATTTTTCTTCTGTTCACTCGCTTTTGCATTTTGTAAAATAATTTGTAAAAATATGTATATAAATATTTTTAAAAGCATCCTTACTTTATAGAATTTTTTCACACCTGCCTAAATTTTTTGCACAGTACTGTAGATCAGGTTTAAATTTCTAAGGCAATTTTGAATCTGTTAATCAGATAACGGTCACAAAGGAGTAGGATGGCAGGGGGGGGAAATGTAAAAGCCATGTGCAAGCTTCTTCTACTTGTTGGCTTATACACAATACATGTGAAAGTCCACTTTTAATGCTATTTGGAGTTGTGTGGCAGTCTGACTGTTTTCAAAGCCATACCTCCTGCCAGCTAAATGATTTCCATGGTATCCGAGACTGTGAGATGGTTTCCCACAACTGATTAATAAAGCCCTTGCATGCACCCCTCCTGCAAAGGTGAGGAGGGGGGTTGTTTTTCACTGTGTTTCTTCTGGCACTCATTGAAGTCCTATTTCTGTCAGAGAGAGAATCGTGCATTATAAGCTCTCCACATCCACAATTAGATTAAACATAGCCTAGGCTGGGTTGACAGAGTTCATCTTTCAATGCGTGCCTTGCGTTCCAACTCATACACTGTCACGGAGGTATAATGCTGCAGTTCATCCCCCAGGAGGTAGGAGTTCCTACTTGAGCACGAAATCAGAACAGGTTGTAAGCTTAGAGCACTATGCCTTCTTTGTGCACATGAGATAGATGACTTATATAAAGCAGGCATGAAGAAATAGAAAAAAAAAAGATACATTGTTGTACACTTGAGTGTATCCTGTTTATTATTCATCAGCTTAATATTTGTATTCTTTTACGTTCCATTGAAAAGTTAAAGTGACACTAAACTCGGGTTAAATATAAAAAAAATGCATTCAAGTACCCTAGCTATTAACAAAAATGTATCTTATTTGTGTACCACTCAGCTGTAGATCCTCAAACCATCGTTGAATTTGTGCTGACACTGTCCTTCCTTCTAAAGGGGGGCTACTTTTGTTCCCCATGGCCCCAATCTCAGTACTAATTAGTAAATTAAACATGAGATTGTAGTCCATCCCGGGAGTGAGCTTGGAGTGGTGAGTACTTTACACCACACGCAGGGACCATGGCGAATAAAAGTAGTCACCCTCTAGAAGGGAAGGACAGTGTCTGTACAAATTTAGAGATGATTTGAGGATCTACAGCTGAGTGATACACAAATAGGGTGCAGTATTGTTAATAGTTAAGGTACTTGAATGCATGTTTGAGATTTAATTCCTGAGTTTAGTGCCACTTTAAGTAAGGAAATTCTTCCTATGCCATGTGTTATTAAACAAAACTTCACTGATAAACCTCATATACCAACTTGCCAGCCACTTTAATGCAGATTACAATACAATATAATCTTTTGGGCTGTAAACAAGCATTTTAATGGGTGTTAAAACACATGCTGACACACGTTTTGATGCGCTTCCATTAATTTGGCACATGGGCACAAACACAAAAGTGTGTGTTTCAGCCATAATGTAAGTGAACAAGTCGTACTCTTTCTTCCAGACTGAAAAAATATATCCGAGGCTGTGGGTGGTCTGTCGGTTAACAGAAACATTTGGCATTGCTATTGCATAATTGTGCATAATTTAAAATTAAAACTCAGAGAGATCACTGTAATTGTTGAAATCCAGATTCATGGTTCTCAGTGATGAACCAGTCCTGTATAGTCACTGATGAACACAACAGATTTGAACAGTTGGTTGCCGTTTTGTAAAGCGACATCTGTCATGAGAAAATGTGAGCTCCCGTTGCTGACCTGCTTCTAAATATGTTAGTTTCCTGGCCTTGTCTGGATTCTGTACATTGGAATCCTCTGGAGTAAGAATGTTTAAATGGGTGCAAGAGTGTCAGAATTCCTTCCATTCAACCTAGCAGTCAAGGAACTAACATTCCCGAAGTGAGCAGTGGGCACCCTACATAATTCTCTTCTGGCCAGTAGACCCGAAGCCTGCTTTGGTTCAAATGGGTTTGACCACGGAATGACTTTGTTCACTAATAAAGATTGCACCTTTCAATGGAAGATTGTCAAGGTATATACATATAGGCTGCTATTGCTGACTACCATCTAAAAATGCTAGTTGTCTGGTTTCATCATTTTCCTGGGTCACTGACTTGGAACAAGTATGCAGCCCAGGAAGATGGAACTGGGCATCTGCCTACTTGTTCCAGGCCAGTGGGTCAAGTCATTGGATAAGCTTGACAACTAGGAAGGCTTGTATTTTCAGTAGGAGACATCAGCAGTAACATGCGACATATTTCTCTAGGTAGAGATTTCTTTTGTGTTTTTAGTTTCACCATCACCTTCTGTTGGAATTCAATGCTGGCCTGCCCACACTTTGAAATCTTATACTCTTAACAAATGCTGACAAATGCCTAGCACTGCAGCTGCTTAATAGCTGTCATCAGCCTTTCAGTAGATTTATTTTGTTGATGAATATACAGTCTAAAAACCTTATATGGGGACTTGTGGTGTTCGTATTACGGCATCATTTCATCCCAGGAGCAGGCTAGTTTGGAAATATTTAAAAATGTGAATGCTTGCTCTGACTTTCCCTGATTCCAGAGCACATAGCATGACTCAGCATTTGACCTTACTTACCACAGGCCCCCTAAGGACACTGGCGAGAGTCTGTTTGGTGCTGTGACTTGCTTTAGGAGGTCTGTGTGTAAAGAAAATACCGCCAAGTCATGAAAATAAACATTTTGTCTTAAGGACACCCTGTGTTAATGGCAGAGTCTCACGGAAACTGTTTACAAGGGTATTGATAAATGCACTCCTGTAAAGCTAGCCATACACATGTACAAATTTCATGTTCGGGTCTGTGGGTTAATCAATAGAAATCACTCAATTCCCCCATCCACACTAACCAGCATGGATGCAGGAATCTGTACTGCTGGCTCCAGGCGCAGCCACTATTCGGGTATTTAGACAGGCGCAAGTGCCGATGGTTGTCTGAATACCTGAACAGGGACGCATCTGATGGGATGCAGTCTGTTTGGCTGGCAATTTTCCACCAGGTTCCTTTGATTTTTTTTTTAAATCCACATTTGTGGATCTGGATCGTGCCAGCAGGGTCACCCACTTCTCAAGTTTCACCCGATGTGTCTAAATTCAGCAAGAATATGGCAAACTTGAAGAAGAACTCCAGTAGAATTTTTTTCTTAACCCTTGCACTGGGGCTACCCCTAAACTGCAAGGGTTAACTGTTTGTTTTTGTCTAGGTAAAAAAAAAAAAAAGTTATACTCGCCAGGTGCTCTGAGCTGGCTTGTTCTTAGACCGGTTCCTGGAGCCTCTCTTCCCCCACCTCTGCAGCTGTCTAAGGTCCCGTAAATCACGTTCTATACACAGTGTATAGAGATGAGGACCCTGAGTAAGATTCTAATGCTGCAACAGGGGAGGAGACAAGCTGGAGGGAGCTTTGAGTATATATAACTGTATTTTTTGGACAAAAAAGAGCACTTAACCCTTTCAGTGCTGGAGTAGCCTCGCGGGGGAGGGGGGTTATGAAAAAGTTTTCCTGTACTTCTTTGACACTGTGATCCTAAATTAGTCTCTATTGATTTGATGTAGTATCTTCCTCTAGCCTGCAGATGTTGTTTTTGTTAATAGGCACTTGTAATGCAGTATATCGATTTGGTGCAGTAACATTTCTTTCAGCTTATGATAGCAAATTTTGCCTATCATCTGTAACATTTTTCTAAAATGCAATTGTGTTTTCTTTTCCCTTTTGCAGGGTCTTCAAGCAGCCGGTATCCAAACCAGGTGACCCCCAAGAAGAATGGTTCGAAGAATGGGCAGCATAAAGCTAGAGATGATGAGTGCTTTGGAGAAGATTTGGATGAGGTTCCAGCCACAGATTTTGATTTCGAGGGGAACCTTGCTCTATTTGATAAAGCAGCTGTATTTGAGGAGATAGACACCCATGAAAGGCGAGGGGGTGGAGGAGGAGCTAGGTCACGGGGTACGCCTAGTGAAAGACCTCCAAATTACAGACATGATGAGAACATACTTGAGTCTGATCCTATAGTATATAGAAGGATTGTTGTTCCACATCCTGGTGGAAAAGAATACTGTACAGGTAAGAGAACTGAGACATATACTAATCTACCACCAACAATAAAAGCTTTAGAGCTCATTCACACAGGTGTCAAATATGCCACGTACAGTGTTTAGTATGTATTCATCTGTATTAAAGTCTATGGGGCAATTCAGACAGTTGCGCTATAGTGTGCAGCACACAAGAAAAAAAAATTGCATCTAGGGCCATATTTTAAACCATATTTAATGCTGTATGCATGCAAAATTTGTGCTAATGTGTACATGCATACAAGTGTACACTGCTAATGTAGCCTAGTGGCCACTGCCAGTTGACTGGTAATCATCATCAATGTCTAGCCACATTGACACATTCCTGATAAGTACATGACCAACAGCGACTAATAGGCAGCATTAATGTTGTAGGCATGTAAGTGTTACACAAAAGTTACATATGTCAGCATATTGATGCGTAAGCGCAAGGTTTTGCTGCCACCCAAGAGCCTGCGTTTTATGTTGTTAGAATCCGTACGCTCGTCTGAATGACCTTTAAAAATGTCAAGTCTGCCAACACAAAATATACTTTACATCATTCATTGTCAACTTACAAGGTATATTGCCCCTGATATTACCAAGGAGCTATATACGTAATGCTATAGAAAAATGTCAGGCACTGCAGACTTATGAGGGGCAAAAGATGAAGGCTGGGGACCTGCTTCAGTGGTAGTAAGATTGGATGCATGTTGCAGGAGAACGTCAAACACTAGTGACATAAGACCATGTAACATGTCACTACAGTGCATCACAACATACAGATATAAATATTCTGTTGGTTGCAGTTCTTTACATTGCCAAAAGTAAAGCAGGTTTCTTCATGTACTGAGGCTTGTCAAGGACCATTCCAAAATGAATAGGCTGCCTTAACATAACGTACATCGGGGCATGAAAAAATGTTGATGCACAGGGAAAGGGGTGAATGTATTTTTAAATGCAGCTATTGTAAGAACTCGACTTTGACTTGATTTTAGCTTCTTGTAATCGCCTTTACAGCAGCAGGCCAACTGAGAGAGGGAAGGGGAGTACTAAGAGCCAATCGGCTGTGCTAAATTCACACGTGCTAATAGTAGGAGAGCACGGAGAAATGTCATCAGTCTCTCCAATCACATGGAGGGGGTAAGGTAGTGACCTAGCTGTGCTTACCTGCAGCAGGCAAGAGTCCTAAGCTGGGTGAGCTGTGAGGTAAGGCTGTGCATGACTGGACAGAAATAGTGATCCTTTCACTGGTAAGACAGATTCCACATACAGTAAAGGATCAGTAAAGGATGTACAAATTTGTTGGTACCCTTCCATGAAAAAAAGAACCTGAAATTTTCTCTAGAATGTGAAACTGGCAAAAGTAATTTGTATTTATCACTGTTTATTGCATATTTAATAAATATCAGTTTACGTTTGATTTAGCAGAGTATTTTAAATAATATAACAAATGGAAATGGCATGGACAACAATGATGGGATCCTTAACCTTTGGCAACAATCATGTCTTCTTCCTTTAAGCCCACTGTTGTTCAGAAAGCGAAGGATGGTGCAGTCTGACAATGATGTTCCTTGGCCCTGGAATTCTTCTTGTAACTTTATGGAAGTTTTCCTTGTTCCTTTGTCTAGCATTCACAAGATTTTTCTGTTCAATCTGGGGTTAGTTTGTTCATCGTGCGGCCACTTCCGGGGTGGTTGGCTACACTGCCATGGGCCTCTTTAACATTTGCAACTGTAGTTACAGGAACATCAAGCTGCTTGGAGAAGCTAGCTTTTACCTTTTGACATGCTGGTCTATCATTTTCTTTCTTTTCTTCTCAGGCAACTCTTTCCTTGGCTTTCTCTGGTCCATGTTCAGTTTGGTGCACACGATGAAACCAAACAGAGTGACAACTTTTCTCCATTCTTATATAGGCTCACTGATTACAAGATTGAAGACATGGCTAATGCTAATTACAGAAAACAGTTCATTTGAAATATCACTAGGATTCAACTGTTTATAATCTTTTCTAGGGGCACCAACAGATCTGTCCACGCCATTTTAAATATCTATGTAGAATAAGCAACTATTTCTATCTTTTCATAATGTATTTGCTTAACTCCATGACGTACCAAATGCATCAGATATGCATGATTCAGTTGATTTTAAAGTGACAATAAACTTACTAGGTAAACCTTAAGAATATATTAAAGTACCTTAACTATTTACAAAAATGTATCTTATTTGTGTATCACTCAGCTCTAGATCCTCAAATCATCTCTGAATTGGTGCTGACACTGTCCTTCCTTCTGGAGGGTGGCTACTTTTGTTCCCCATGGTCCCTGTGTGTGTTGTAGCCACCGCTCCAAGCTCACTAATGTGATGGACTACAATCTCAATACAAATTAGTAGGAACGCACTGCTACCAATACTAGTATATGTGCCGATACCGAGTATTTGGGTGAGTACTTGTAACCCCGATACCGGAACTTCCGGTCAGAGGGACATTTCCTCTGACTGGCAGTGCTGCGTTTCCCCCATAGTGCTGGCTTCCCAGCCAATCAGCATCGAGCTTGCCAAACCGCATGGAGCCGGCTTATTGGTGAGTAATGACTGCCATCCAATTTCCTGATTGGCTGTGAAGCCGGCTCCATGCTAGCGGATAAAGATAAACATCGGTACTCGATACCAAAAAACTTCGGTGCATCCCTACAAATTTGTAATCTAGAAGTAGCCACCCTCCAGAAGGAAGGACAGCGTCAGCACCAATTCAGAGATGATTTGAGGATCTACAGCCGAGGGATACACAAATAAGATACATTTTTGTTAATAGTTAAGGAACTTGAATGTTTTTTTTACGATTTTACTCCTGAGTTTAGTGTCACTTTAAATTCATCAATTTTCAGAAGGAACTAGCCATTGTTTCAATAAGGTGTAAGGTTACCAACAAATTTGTCCATTACTTTATTTAGTTCAACTCTATATTAAGCTGTTTGCCTGGAGTTCTAGACTTTGGCACTCCTAAAGGTTACTGGATTTTTTTATTGTACGTGTACTTGCAGAGAACTGCAGAAAATGTAAAGTAGCACCTCATAATACCAACAGTTATTGTTCATGTTGCTGGCAAATTACTCGACCTCAAAAGGTAAAGCTGGCATTCTTCAAATTCGAAAAATCGAGGCTGCTCACTACTCGTAATGGATCATTTCTATGTGGAAGCTGCACAACTTCCTGCTTCTTGATTTTGTGAAGCACATTGCCATATGTGTTCCCAGGTACTTCTAAGGCCCCATTCACACCTATGCGTATTGTAATATGCGCGTCTGTCACGCGACCGTCATGCGTTTTTTTACCGCGATTCGCGGTAAAAAAGTCGCGCGACCCCAAAGGCTACTTGGCAGTATACAAATGGAAAACGCCCTACAAAACGGACCAATACGCAGCAAAAAACGCTCCGGGACCTTTTCATGCGTGGGCCGTTTTGTAGTGCGCTCGGGACGGGTGGAAATACGGACAGGTGGGAACGATACCATTGACTACAATGCTATTTATTTTTCTGACCGTTTTGTAGAGCGTTCATCGAGCGTAGGACGCGCTACAAAACGGTCAGGTGTGAATGGGGCCTAAATCACTGATCTCTGGTCTAGCAAAGTTCAGACGTCATGGCTTTCAAAAACGGAGAATGAAAGTAGTGTTTTGAAAATAAAAAAGTGAAACTTGAACAAACAAACTTCAGAATGTTAAACATTGAAAAATAGAAGAAAAATGTTTGTTTTATAATGTTTCTAGTGGTCATGCAGCTTTAATAGTGGACTACTAATCTTGTCAATGTTGGCAAAATTCCAGTGTTACCACTTTGCAGATACACAAAAATCTGTACAATCTGTAAAGATCTGTACAAAAAAAAAGATGAAAGGCAGACTTTGGAGCATTTAGGAGTGAAAACGGTTGCCCTGTACTCCAAGTGCTGCTCTAGCTCTTTGTTGCAGGCACTCTAATACTCTTACCTTGTATAATGTCCAACCTGTGCCCCAGTCTTACAATGTAGGGCTCTGAAGTACTGACTCTCTGTAAGCAAGCACATGACTGTGCTTAGCCATTTAGGCCATTGGGTTTTGCCTGCCTGGGGTTTGGTTTTAAAGTGAACTCTTCACTAAACTAACATTACAAAAGTAACATCTACCTAATGGCATGAGTAATTTGTGGATCTTTCTTGTGGCTGAATCTCTTTAACTCCATAACTTTTTAATATGCCACTATGTGCATGAGCGTACACTTTGTAAGAAAATCAGAGGCTTGCTCATGGAAATGTAGAATGTACTTTTGTAATTCTAGTTTATACACAGTTTTTGCTTTAAAGTAAACCTTTTGTTACTTTACATTAAAGATTCCTTTCATTTTGAACAAGAAAAATGTGAAACCCCAACACTGGTAGCCTTAAGCAGACTGCTGGACATATCTTTCCTTGGCTTTCTGCCAATCTGCTGTCCCATGAAGTGTAAATGCAGCTCTCAAACTGCTGCATTGCTTGGCTTTTTTAGGTTTGGCTTTGGGAAATGATTGAAATAGGTAGGTTTGTAAAGCCTTAGCACAAGGGTAGGCAACCTGTGCACGACAGCTGTTGTGGAACTACAAGTTCCATTAAACATCCAAAGACTGACAGGCACAGTCATGACTCGCAGAGGCATTTGTAGATTCAGCAAAGCCGACATGTCAAGGTTGCCTACACTTGCTTCAGGCACGCCAGCAACCTTGGCGTTTCTTTTACACTGTTCTGAAACATCCGATTGGTGGTATCCAAGGGGAGAGATCCTTGTAATTCAGCACCAGAAGAGGGGTTCCCAGTTTTTGCTGTTTTATAAGAAAATGTTGCTTTCTTCCAAGTCATGTACAACAGTGGCAGACTCATGACAGCAACACTTTCGAGTTAGCATTACAATAGATGTCTTAGTTTTGAACTAATATTTGTATTGTGAATGTCTCAAGTTCTACATGTCATTGCTTTGTCCTAAATTGTTTATCTACTGCTCT